CACCGTGACACGCTTAAGCCTGAATATTCAATCATCTGTTCTAGAAACTGTACAGCTTAAAACAACACATTTGGCGCTGGATAAAAGTCAGATGGTCTGGAAGGCTCTCTGCAGCCTTTCACATAAGCACACACTCCCAAAACACACTCAGACTTGACATCCGTAGTTACAATACAAACAGGTCCTATCTCATTTAGCCCTGCAATACCCGCCCCCACCAACCTGCTCGGGCGAGCGGGTGACGCCGTGCATATTGACTGCAGGTGCAGCAGGTGTGATTATGGCTGAAAGAACATGGGTGAATGCTGACAGCTCTCCCTGCTGGTTGGACGCTGGCACTGCAGCTGCTCAAGGTGTCGTTTTAAAGCCTGAGTAATAAATGGCTGTGCATTAATAATGCTATGAAGTGTATATGGCTACCAAACATTATGTGGTTCCATAATTAGATCAGTCCGCCCACACACAAACACATAATCGCACTCACTCCTGAATAAGGAGTTTCTTTGTCTTCTTCTTTTTTACATTCTGTTTTCATTCTTTTTTCCACGCATCTTTTACAACAGTATCAGCCCTGATCCAGTTTGAATCGTGCCATTAGCTCATGGCAAACAATGAGACATTATAAGAGAGAGAAGCCGTGGCACTCAGAGTCCCCGGAGAGATATGAGCCAATCGTTTTGTTGCATCGCACATATTAACGGTAAAGTTTTGCTGCTGTTTCAGCTGTATCCTGGCAGGAGCTTTATCTTCTATGTATTGTAGAAAAACATGTGAGCACTTGCAGTGCTATTCAGTGCTCTGTTAGGATAATCAAAGACTTTTTTTGTTTTTGCACTTTTGGATTGAGCCCTTTTTGAAGTCAAGTGTAAAGTCGCCAAACTTTTGAAGCATTTTTTCAAAATGAGATTTGACTAAATATCCAGTTTTTCTGTCTCTGTGACGCAATAATTAAATTTAAAGCCCTTTATCCTTTCATTTAGATTGCAGAGCTGATCTGGGGGAGTTATTCCACTTTCTGTTAATACTCTTGTAGAGAAATTTGATGCGATTCAGGAAGGGGGCACTCTTGAGAAAGTCCTTAATGAATTAGAGGTAAAATTAATATGTACACTTGCTTCTAGACAAAGGCAAAAACAAAACACACACTTCTTTTAGTTTTTAGAAATATAGTACAGATAACATGTCTGCAAATAAAATATGCTTCCAATTTATTTTTCCAGAAAGACTAAAACTGTCAATTAACTGCTGACATTTTGCTAACGCATGCTGATTGGTGGGACAAGGATTCACCACAGGCACGCTGCAGTCACTCTGATCTGACGGCACCTATTTTCCAAGCTTCCTGTTTGAAATCAAATTCACAGATTCCATAAAGTGACTCAGGGTAGTTTTTACATCTCTAATAAAAAAAATCCATCCATCCATCCATCTTCATCCGCTTTATCCGAGGCCGGGT